CTAAAATGATCTTGAAAATATATACTTCTATCGTGCTAGACATATTAATCCAACACTCCATTAAAGATCAATATGTACATTCAATTGAAGCATTGATACTACTCAATTAACGTGTAACCCAACCCTTAATCTTAAGGTATAATTCAATTTTTGTGTTTAGAATTGTATTTAATTTGAAACCCTAGACCCTAAACATAATCGTTACGGTTCGTAACGTTTGAATTGATCGATGAAACATTCTATTCAATTGCATTGTGTACTTTTACAAAATCAGATTGAATAGGTAGTTACGTACATACAAATTAAACATCGTGGTGATTAATAAAAACAGATTAGAAAATAACAGAAGTAGAGGAAAAAAAAAAAGTTGTTGAGAGCAGTTACTAGAACATTCTATCCATATAAGCATTGTATTCTGCATGTTTTGTTTCTGCACCAGAAAATAAACAACTTAGAAATAAACTTCTCTCTTTCCTCCCTTTGCTCTGCTTAATTGCTAATCTGTTGTCATGGCTTACACTCCTAGCAACCGCTCCACACAATCTGGCTTACAATCAAAGTTTATTGAATATAAGCAACTACCACTGTTATATCATCGTACTTGCCCCCGATTGCATGCTCCTTGATTCCGGCGATCCTGGTCGCCGCCGAGAATGGAGTATCGATGTTTGCGTTCAGGGAATTCTTAAGCGCGTACCGAGCAATCTTCCTCGCCAACTTCATCGGATTCTTGTCGGAGCCCGATCCGTTAACCAAATCTTCCAGTTCGGATTCATGAACGTTGTCGAACAATCCATCCGTCGCCATTACGATGATGTCTCCCGGTTTCACCTTCACCTCGAATTTCTCGGCCGCGGTCGGGTCGCCGCGCGATTTACACAGCTGAACCGGACAGTTGAACAGCGACTGCTGAGGCGGGGAGGTGTAGAGGATTTTCCCGCCGCGTAGGACTACGAAGCCGCTGTCGCCGACGTTGACGGCGTTCACGCAGTCGTCAACTAACGTCAAGATACACGCCGTGGAAGAGCCTTGTGCTTTGGTGTCCACGTAAGCTTCGTCCAGGGCTGTCATGGGGTCCACGCAGCCGACTGTATCTCTCTGGTGACGGACGGACAAGACGGCGTTAGCCATCAGCTCTCTGGAGAACTCTCCGGCATCGATGCCCCTCTTTGCCCAGCCGCCGACGCCGTCCGCCACTCCGATCGTCTGTGCCTCCGAACAAACAAAGTGCGAGTCTTCTCCGAGAGGCTTCGCCGGATTGTGTTTGGGTATGTAGAACGCTTCGGCGACCATTCTGGTTGTTCTCCGCCGTACCAAGCCGCTGTCGACTAGGGTTTGGAGATAAGCCCTAGTACTGGCTTTTGATGGATTGATCAAACGTTTTCTTTTCATCGTGACCGCCATGAATGAAATTTGGAAACTGTGAAATCCAAGAAAAACAATAGTACGTACTGCGTGAGAAGTCGGCTAGAGTATGAGATTCACGCTTTTAAGTAAGTATATCACCGCGGACTTAGTCCTAATAGGATTGGGATTAACGCATACTATTTAAGCAATCACTAATTAAATGCGTATTGGATGCAATAATTTATATTATATAAATAATAACTAACTATATTTTAACGCATTAACCTATTAATTGTTGTTGGGATCACTTTTATATTAAGGCTCTATTTGGCAGAACTTATTTAAGAGTTTATGTCTTATTTTAACTTATTAATAAGTTATAAGCTCTTTTTTGTAATATCCCAAAATAAATTAGTAGTTTAAAATAAAAACTTATTTTGAAAAGTTATCTTAAATAGCGTTTTAAAAATAAATTTGAAGCTTCCTATCTTTTTTCTATCTTTATCCTTGTTATTTTAAATAAATTTGACATCTTTTATCAATTAAAACCTTTTTGGCTTTTTCTTTTCTCCTATATTTTTACCCTCTTGGCCTTTTCTTTTCTCCTATATTTTTATTCATCATCTTCCACAACTCTCTAACTCTAATTGTTCATAAATAAATGACATCATTTATCCTTACCAATTAAAAAAAAAATTCTTTGTTTTAATTTAATATATATCTCATATATATTATAAAAAAAAAAACTTTTTTTATAAATTAAATATATCTCATATATTATAATATAAAAATAATATAATAATCACATCATTTAAATTTTATGAAAATGTCATTTTTATTCTTTTTACCGTTATTAGCTTATCAAAAAAAGTTAATTTTACCAAACACTTTTAAGCATAATCAGCTAGTTAACAACTCTTTAGTTTTCAACTTTTAGCTACGTCTTCAGCTAGGTTTGCCAAACATAACCTAAATAAATTGACTCATTTTACAAGTCAACTTTTAACTTATACTTAATATCTACTCCGTACTTCACTGCAACACTCAACCTTCTTAAAAAATGGGTCATATATATTATCAATAAGGTTACAAGTTCGACTACTAGTAAAAATTAAGGTCACAAGACAGAGGCACGCCAGACCGTGAAATAGTAACTGCGGGAATAGATAATACTATTCTATGATCATATATATTTGCAATTCATTCACAAATTTTTAACACTCATATAATTTCAATTCACTTTCAAATAATAATAATAATAATAATAATAATAATAATAATAATAATAATAATAATAATAATAATAATAATAACATTTAAAATAATTTTGGACCCACTCATCACCTTGTCTTTTGTATGGCATTGGTTGTTGTTGTGTAACAAAAATACATTTATTGAATGGCTTGCAAATACTGAAACCCTTTGAAGTGGCGATGTCACATATGATCGCAATTCCATCCCTCCCTTTCAAAGACGTGGGTAGCCTTATAAGTTAAAAAAATAGTTAAAATATAATGATGAAACTAGATTTTCTAATTACAAGAATAATTCGTAAACTGGAATGCAAGATCATGGGACAATGCACGTCGTCCCTATTTATAGGAGAAAAACTTATGTCTATTAACTTAGTCCTATCATTACTCCAACTAGAACTCCACATTATATTAACCTACGACATAACCTAAGACCAGCCTATTCCCACACAAATGGGGTGTGGGGACTACCATATTGTTTCACAATAGTCTGTAGGTGTAGACCACCATCCAAAAACAACGTGATTTTGTTTAATTTTATTTTTTCGCGCGACATACATTTTTATAACTCATAATGTACATTATTTTAAAATATAATGTACATTATTCTAAAGCATAATATACATTATTCTAAAATATAATATACATTATATCACCCCAGATGTTTCATTATTAAATTAGACTATATATTTTACGTCTTTGTCATTGGTCAAATTCCAAGTGTCAAGTCCTTATCCCTAATCCTTAACCGGAGCTAAGTGTCGCAAGTCATGTTTCTCGACCTTTAACCAAGAATTAAGTATCATGTTTTCTTTATCGATTCTTAACTAGACACTAGATCACAAGTCTCGAATCCTTTGTACATTTGTTAGTAGTAATGCATGGTGCACACGATTGTAAAAACGACGTCATTTTGATTAAAAACGACGTGTCTGACTTTAAAAAAAAAATCAGTTTTGATTGCCGTTAACGACGTTATGATGTGCATAATTTGAACTATATATTCAGAATGAATGAACTATATATCCAGAATGAATGAACTATACATTCAGAATGAATGATCTACTTTGGTTCCTTCTTAGGATTTTGGATAAGGAGAACAATGGTGTTTGACTAGTAAGTAATCACTGTATATACTTCTCATCATGATTTTCAATATTTATGTGTTTAATCAATCTCTAAATTAAAGGGCTTGATGTAGTTGCTCTTTTATGATTTTATTAGCTTGATGTGACTTAAATTTATGCAAGTATTCTTTTTTTTTTTTTCTCAAAAACAAATATGAAAAAACTATTTTAAATAGAATTTGATGACCAAAACTTAACGGTATAAGAAAACATGCATTAACCAATGCTTGTATTTACATTTTAAATGTATCGTGATTGTATTTCTGCAGAAGAAGGTGATCCAAAAAGGCACATCTAATGTTTGAAGAAACGTTTTCCATTAGATTAAAAATTATAATTAGTAGTGAATGCATAATTTTATTTTCTTATACTTGTGTGCACAAAATGACGGATAATTGCCGGAAAAATCGGTGGAGGATGAAACATTTAAAAGTGGCACATACTGCCACTATAAATGAGATTAAATTTGGCAATTTTTTTATGAAGGACTAGAAGTAGACAAATTCTATAACAGACTTAACAGTAATACCAAAAATGAAATTATTTCAACTACTACTCTTATATATTTCTCTAACCATGTACTCGACAAAGTTAGTTTGGGAATTATAATAGAATGGAGCTTTCATTTCTAGAGAAAACAACGTCAAAAAAGTTTGAAACTTATTCAGAGATCACCATAAAATAATGCTGAAAATATACTTCTATCATGCTAGACATATTATATTGATACAACACTCAATTAAAGATCAAGACATTCAATTGAAGCATTGATACTACGTAACTTGTAACCCACCTCTGAATTTTAATATGTAATTCAATTTTTGTGTTTACACTCGTATTTTTTTATTTTTTGAAAACCATAGCATAAAAATTTATTAAACCAAATGTTCAATATAAGACGGAATCTTGAGAATGAGCTCAATATCACGAGATTGAAAATACTGCTCTAGGATCATATCCCAGGGTCCCAATCCAAAGTGTTTTGGTTAATGAGATCGCAGACCCTCATTTCCTGATTTCCTTCAATACAAAGTGTTGCCACATACGGATTCACAAAATCCAACAAAATCTTATCTCACCTACTGGGTTTATAAAAACCATAACCTTAGACCCTAAACATAAACGTAGCAAAACAAACCCTAACGTTTGATCGAATTGATCGATATGATGAAACATTCTATTCAATTGTGTACTTTTCAAAAATTAGATTCAATACAGACAATGATATTTCTTGATATCTGAATGATGAATTGATGATCGATCATCATTATGTTTATTGAATATAAGCAACTACCACTGTTATATCATCGTACTTGCCGCCGATGGCATCCTCGTCGATTCCGGCGATCCTGGTTGCCGCCGAGAATGGAGTATGGATGTTTTCGTTCTCGGAATTGTTAAGCGCGTACCGTGCAATCTTCCTCGCCAACTTCATCGGCTTCTTGTCGTCAAGACGACATTCTGCGGAAACCAAATCTTCCAGTTCGTGTTCATGAACGTTGTCGAACAATCCATCCGTCGCCATTACGATGATATCTCCAGGTTTCACTTTCACCTCGAATTTCTCGGCCACGGATGAGTCGTCGCACGTTTTCCCCAGCTGAACCGGACAGTTAAACCGCGACTGCTGAGCCGGGGAGTGGAAGACGATTTTCCCGCCGCGTAGGACTGCGAAGCCGCTGTCTCCGACGTTGACGGCGATCACGCAGTCGTCAACTAACGTCAAGATACACGCCGTGGAAGAGCCTTCTGCGTCGGTGTCCACGTAGGCTTCGTCAAGGGCATTCATGGGGTCCACGCTGCCGACTGTGTGTATCTGATGACGGACGGACAAGACGGCGTTATACATCAGCTCTCTGGCGTACTCTCCGGTGTCGATGCCCATCTTTGCCCAGCCGCCGACGCCGTCCGCTACGCCGATCGTCTGCGCCTCCGAACAGATAAAGTGCGCGTCTTCTCCGAGAGGCTTCGCCGGGTTCTGTTTGGGTATGTAGAACGCACCGGCGACCATTCTGGTTGTGCTCCGCCGTGCCAAGCCACTGTCCACTAGGGTTTGAAGATAAACCCTAGTACTGGATTTTGATGGATAGATCAAACGCTTTCTCTTCATGGTCACCGCCATGATCGGAATTTGAAAACCTTGAAATCCAAGAAACTAGAATGGGAAACAATAATACTGCGTGAGAAGTCGGCAAGAGTATGGGATTCCTACTTTTAAGTAAGTATCACCGCCGACATAGTCCTTATAGGATTAGGATTAACACGTATACTATTTAAACAATCACTAGTTAAATGCATATTAGATGTAATAATTTATATTATATAACTAACTATATTTTAACGTATTAACCTTTTAATTGTTGTTGGGCTCACTTCTATATTAAATATAATTGACCCATTTTACAAGTAAACTTTTAACTTAATTATACTTAATATCTACTTCAGTACTGCAATACTTGGCCTTCTTTAAAAATGTATCATATTATTCACAAGGTAACAACAAGTTCAACTACCGGTAGGAGCTAAGATCATAAGGCAGAGACACATCGTCGAATAGTAACTACGAAAATTGGTAATACTATCCTAGCTATGATCATATTTGCAATTCATTCACAATTTTTTACATTCATATAATTTCAATTCACTTTCAAATAATAACAATAATTTCTAATTACAAGATCATGGGACAATGTTCAATTCGTCCCTATTTATAGGAGAAAAACATATGTCTATTAGCTTAGTCCTATCATTACTCCAACTAGAACGTAACTCTACATTATATTAACCTAAGACCTATTATATTCCCACACAAACACCGTCAAGCTCAGGACATAAATAATGTACAAATGTATCTTTTATTTATAATCATTACAATTGTAATGTACTATATATAAAAAAAATGGTTTGGACCACCATTCTTTATTGGGCCCTTGAGTATACATATACTAGTTGGGCATTTCTTAGTATGCCCCAAATCCCCAATGCAACAAGCTAAGTTATGATTAATGCTAAATACATACATATATATATATATATATATATATATATATATATATATATAATATAATAATTTTAGTCAAAAAAAATATCATAAATATACTCCATAGGATAAAGCCCGTCGTGCAATCTCTTCTTAGTACGAGTTATACTTTATGTGCAATTTGAGAGATATTACACATAAATAAGGTTTACCACACGTATACTCTCAGATGGTGATTACAAATTTCTCTCGTCAAAAGGTGAGTTCAAATGTGAAACCATGTATAAAATAAATACTTTGGAAGAATGACCAGGGATCGAGTCTCACCAGCGACAGTGTGGGAGCAACCTCTCAAAGTGAGGGGGGCTCCTTGTGCGCAATGAGCACCGTGTTCAGTTGAGTCACCATGATTTACAATCTGTCGGGCGGGGGCCCTTAGGGTTGGGGTTCAGCCTTTTGAAAGAATGTATAAAATGAATATGGATTGTAACTGCTACTTAAAAATGCGATTTAAGCTAAGTAAAGTGTGCCTTATTACCTTAGAATGAGAAATTATAATGAACTTGACAATCGTTTACACCATTGATTACTCAGCTAGTAGTTTTATTTTATACCACACATTTCAATACTTCATTCTCGCCATCTAATGGAACCAAAATAATAATGTACCTTTGCAACGACAAAATATACCATGTCAAATAGTATATATGCCCAAAACTTCCTTTATGCATGCACAACCAGCACTCCAGCAGTCAACAAAAAGATACAAATAAAATGTATGTAGCCATCTAAATCATCACCCAAAGCATTACTCCTACTTTTTCCAAATCCATTTAACATATTTCAATATATTCCTTCAGTCTTACTAGTACATCATACAAATTAGCATTATCCACACTCAATAGAAATGAGAAAAACAGTGAAAAACTTTAAAACTAGAGATCACCAAGGAAGTTCCACTGCAGCTACTGTCACGGCTTACAATCCTAGCAACCGCTCCACACAATCTGGCTTACAATCAAAGTTTATTGAATATAAGCAACTACCACTGTTATATCATCGTACTTGCCGCCGATTGCATGCTCGTCGATTCTAGCGATCCTAGTCGCCGCCGAGAATGGAGTATCGATGTTTCCGTTCAGGAAATTCTTAAGCGCGTACCGAGCAAACTTCCTCGCCAACTTCATAGGATTCTTGTTGGAGACCGATCCGTTAACCAAATCTTCCAGTTCGGATTCATGAACGTTGTCAAACAATCCATCTGTCGTCATTACGATGATGTCTCCCGGTTTCACCTTCACCTCGAATTTCTCGGCCGCGGTCGGGTCGCCACGTGATTTCCCCAACTGAAACGGACAGTTGAACCGCGACTGCTGAGGCGGGGTGGTGTAGACGATTTTCCCGGCGCGTAGGAGTGCGAAGCCGCTGTCGCCGACATTGACGGCGTTCAAGCAGTCGTCAACTAACGTCAAGATACACGCCGTGCAAGAGCCTTGTGCTTTGGTGTCCACGTAGGCTTCGTCCAGGGCTGTCATGGGGTCCACGCAGCCGACTGTATCTCTCTGATGACAAACGGATAAGACGGCGTTAGCCATCAGCTCTCTGGAGTACTCTCCGGCGTCGATTCCCCTCTTTGCCCAGCCGCCGACGCCGATCGTCTGCGCCTCCGAACAGACAAAGTGCGAGTCTTCTCCGAGAGGCTTCGCCGGATTGTGTTTGGGTATGTAGAACGCTCCGGCGACCATTCTGGTTGTTCTCCGCCGTGCCAAGCCGCTGTCAACTAGGGTTTGGAGATAAGCCCTAGTACTGACTTTTGATGGATTGATCAAACGCTTTCTTTTCATCGTGACCGCCATGAATGAAATTTGGAAACTGTGAAATCCAAGAAAAACAATAGTACGTACTGCATGAGAAGTCGGCTAGAGTATGAGATTCACGCTTTTAAGTAAGGGGGTGTATTCAATCATGACTTTTGTAGAGTTTTAAAGACTTTTAAAATGATTGATTTTAATAAACTTTGATTGACTTTCATAGAGTCGTTCAAAACTTTTTAAAACTTTTCAAATTGGTGTTAAATAAAGGGACAATTCAGTAATGTCAATATTGATCTCTCTTTACTTTCAACTTGTGAAGTGCGAAATTCCTCTTTCTTGTACGAATTACACCCATAATTACTCCCGGACCTGCAAATCAAATTTTATATTCGCAGTTTTAGGAGTAATTCTGGGGGTAATTCGTAAAAAAAAAGGATTTCGCAGTTCACATGTCTATGAGTAAAGAGATGCCAATATTAAAATTACTGAATTGTCTATTTATTTAACACCAAATGGACAGAATAACAAATGAGGGACTAAATTGAGAAAAACACAAAAGTCTGGGACTAAATTGAGCGAAACACAAAAGTCTGGGACGATATTAGGTCACCAAAGTCGTTTAGGACGAAATTGAGAAAAACCACTATAGTCGAGGACGATTTTGGGTATTAACTCATATACTCTATAAAAGTCTATATAAATAACATTCATAGACTATTATCAACTTTTTATTTTAAAAAGTCTACAAAAGTCATTGAAATTCTAAATTAAATACATCCCTACAAACTTTCAATGATTTTGATTCTTAACATTTATAATTTTCTTACAAAATATTTATAATATATCATAAAATTCTTCTTATTATATAGTTCTTCACCCAAATCTAATATTAATATATATATATATATATATATATATATATATATATATATATATATATATATATATATATATATATATATATATAATTATACTTGATATATTGCTAGGTATCACGCAAAGAACTATTATTTGCAATAGCAATTTGAGACAGCGAACAACATCAATGTGCTACTGTTTGCAACCCCAAATTGTTGTTGCGAACATATAGTAGTTCGCTATTCGTAGTAACATGTTAAAAATAATAATAATAAATATATATTACGAATATAAACATAAAAAGAATAAAAATCAAAATATATACGTATTTATATGAATATTATGAAACATATACTAAAATTTGACGATGAAATATTTGCTTTGTTAATGTATTTAGGGAGAATTAGAGAAAGTTTGGGATAAAAAATTCATAGAAAAAATAAAAATCAATATAAACAAGCAATAATGAAGTAAAAATAATATTATTTCGAATTTTAAGAGGAAGATTGTAAAAGAAGCTTAGGAAAGAGAGATAAATTGGTAGAGTTTAGGTATGAGGAAAATATAGGATAATGAAGAAAAAAATAATTTTATTGAATTTTGATAGGTTTATAAAGTTTAAATATGGAGAAAAAACGGAGTTTAAATAGAGAGAAAACATTAAAAGTTGTCAGAAAGAAAATTTTGAAATCTTGGGGTTGATGGTTGGATTTCAACTATTTATATTTGAGAAGGAAAAGTCTACAAAAGTTTACAAAAGTCCTAAAATTAAAAAGTCTACAAAAGTTCATAACTTTTTGAATACCACATGACTTTTAAAGACTCTTTAAAAGTCTTGATCGAATACCACATGACTTTTAAAGACTCTTTAAAAGTCTTGATCGAATACCACATGACTTTTAAAGACTCTTTAAAAGTCTTGATTGAATACCGTCTGACTTTTAAACACTCTCTAAAAGTTTGAATTGAATACCTCCAAACTTTTAAAGTTCATAAAAGTCTTTAAAACTCTACGAAAGTCATGATGGAATACACCCCCCTAAGTATATCACTGCGGACTTAGTCCTAATAGGATTGGGATTAACGCATACTATTTAAGCAATCACTAATTAAATGCGTATTGGATGCAATGCTTTATATTATTATATAAATAATAACTAACTATATTTTAACGCATTAACCTGTTAATTGTTGTTGAGATCACTTTTATATTAAGGATCTATTTGGCAGAGCTTATTTAAGAGTTTATGCCTTATTTTAACTTATTAATAAGTTATAAGCTCTTTTTGGTAATATCGTAAAATAAATTAGTAGTTTAAAATAAAATCTTATTTTGAAAAGTTATCTTAAATAGCGTTTTAAAAATAAATTTGAAGCTTCCTGTCTTTTTTCTATCTTTATCCTTGTTATTTTAAATAAATTTGACATCTTTTATCAATTAAAACCTTTTTGGCTTTTTCTTTTGTCCTATATTTTTACCCTTTTGGCCTTTTCTTTTCTCCTATATTTTTATTCATCCTCTTCCACAACTCTCTAACTCTAAATGACATCATTTATCCTTACCAATTAAAAAAAAATTCTTTTGTTTTAATTTAATATATATCTCATATATATTATAAAACAATTTTTTTTTATAAATTAAATATATCTCATATATTATAATATAAAAACAATATAATAATCACATCATTTAAATTTTATGAAAATGTCATTTTTAGTCTTTTTACCGTTATTAGCTTATCAAAAAGTTAATTTTACCAAACACTTTTAAGCATAATCAGCTAGTTAACAACTCTTTAGTTTTCAGCTTTTAGCTAGCTACGTCTTCAGCTAGGTTTGCCAAACATAACCTAAATAAATTGACTCATTTTACAAGTCAACTTTTAACTTATACTTAATATCTACTCCGTACTTCACTGCAACACTCAACCTTCTTAAAAAATGGGTCATATATATTATCAATAAGGTTACAAGTTCGACTACTAGTGAAAATTAAGGTCACAAGACAGAGGCACGCCATACCATGGAATAGTAACTGCGGGAATAGATAATACTATTCTATGATCATATATATTTACAATTCATTCACAATTTTTTTACAGTCATATAATTTCAATTCAATTTCAAATAATAATAATAATAATAATAATAATAATAATAATAATAATAATAATAATAATAACATTTAAAATAATTTTGGACCCACTCATCACCTTGTCTTTTGTATGGATTGGTTGTTGTTGTGTAACAAAAATACATTTGAATGGCTTGCAAATACTGAAACCCTTTGAAGTGGCGATGTCACATATGATCGCAATTCCATCCCTCCCTTTCAAAGACGTGGGTAGCCTTATAAGTTAAAAAAAATAGTTAAAATATAATGATGAAACTAGATTTTCTAATTACAAGAATAATTCGTAAACTGGAATGCAAGATCATGGGACAATGCACGTCGTCCCTATTTATAGGAGAAAAACATATGTCTATTAACTTAGTCCTATCATTACTCCAACTAGAACTCCACATTATATTAACCTAGGACATAACCTAAGACCTGCCTATTCCCACACAAATGGAGAGTGGGGGCTACCATATTGATCGCAATAGTCTGTGTGGACCACCATCCAAAAACGACGTCGTTTTGTTTAATTTAATTTTTTTGCACGCTCAGCTGCAACATACATTTTTATAACTCATAATGTACATTATTCTAAAGCATAATGTACATTATATCACCCCAGATGTTTCATTATTAAATTGGACTATATATTTTACGTCTTTGTCATTGGTCAAATTCCAAGTGTCAAGTCCTTATCCCTAATCCTTAACCGGAGCTTTGTGTCGCAAGTCATGTTTCTTGACCTTTAACCAAGAATTAAGTATCGTGTTTTCTTTATCGATCTTTAACTAAACACTAGATCACAAGTCTCGAGTCCTTTGCACTTGTCCGCATCATTTTCAAAGCTTGGAGAAGAAGATACGCATAGAATTTTGAAATTGTCCAATCCACTGTCCTTAGAAGGTGCCTTCGTTAGGATTTTGGCAAACGTTAACTATATTTAATATAACATTTGTAACTAATAATAGTGTGCCATAACTTGTGTTAATTGTGCCGTATTTTATAAAAGAACGGAATATGTACATTATTATTTCTGAAATACACGTTTTTTCTTCAGTTGATTTTTACTGCATTTTTACCTACACATTTAATCTTCATAATAACTCAAGATTTATAAGAGGCCGATGTTAGTGGCCAAACACAAATCAAATTAATAATGCATATTAAATCAAATTAAACCCTAACCCTAGACGACCCTAAACATAAACATTTAGATTCAATACAGATAATGATATTTCTTGATATCTGGATGATGAATTGATGATCGATCATCATTATGTTTATTGAATATAAGCAACTACCACTGTTATATCATCGTACTTGCTGTCGATGGCATCCTCGTCGATTCCGGCGATCCTTGGTGCCTAGTAACGTTCTTCTTTTGGAGCTTGTTAGTCACTTTTTGTTCCCTACGTCGTTGGTTCGGTTAGTTATTTATCTAATTTTGGGTTAAGAATTATTTATTTATTTAATTTTGGAATAAGCTAGTGAACTGTTTGGATTGATCACAAGTTCAGGTACGGGGTAGAACCCTTATGTGTTGTCAACCAACCCTTAATGCAGTTATTCTTATATACAAGCTTAGTGATCACACTGCCTTCAGGATCTGAATTATTGGACATCAAGAAACTCAATTTAATTGAAGACAACTTTGTTGCCTTAGATTAAAATAATAAAGTGAAACAAGCATGCTACCTGATCTTGAGCAAAACAACCCAAAATGCTAACTTAAATGACAACTTTGTTTACAAAAACACAATGCACACTAATACCAAAACACAATGCACACTAATACCAAAACACACTGCACACTATTATTCTGACATGCACCATGGCTTATATTAGCAATCTGAATGCAATGTTTGCTTACAAAAATGAACATCATAACAGCCATATAAGCATTGTATTCTGCAGTTACTAGAACATTCTATCCATATTAGAGGAAAATAACAGATTAGAAAATAACAAAAGTAGAGGAAAAAAAATGCCAGCTAATCTGTTGAGAGCAGTTACTAGAACATTCTAACCATATAAGCATTGTATTCTGCATGTTTTGTTTCTGCAC